TTTCGCGGATTTTGAGTAACCGCTAATTCTGCGAATATTTAGTCACTACAGGCCTAAGAGGTACGTTTTTGATGCATGGTCTTCGCCCTGCTGGGTACGTTTAATTATTTTATTATTTTGTTTTGACAATACCTTTTCATCTATTGACTAGTTCCGTGAACACTTTTTTTCCTTACCTTTTCACTATGTGATTAAGTAAGATATAGTTAGACCCGTTAGCTTTTATCTCATTTGAATCATAACTGACTTTATATTCAAAATGTCGATATGTTTTTTTACACAGTATCGGACTGTACATCGCTTTCATTATAATAACAACATAACAGCTGATTATCAATGTAGCACTTGATCGCTATTTGATTTTAACAAAAGATTACACCTACTCCATTCAAACAAAATCCAAGCTATTTAATGTACGCAAACTGTAAGTGCTTTTGTATATGCCGTGGTTACAAATTAAAATGGCGGGGCGCAGAGGGAAAACACGCGAATAAGCGGGGACGCTAATAAGGTTCGATCTTCTCCGGTCTTCAACGGTCACCAGTTTCCAAAGACCTTCTTCTATATTGATCGATTATTGCAAACTGTATTCATGATACAAACGTTTATTTACCCCCTCCCAAACAATGATGAAAATAGTTCAATGAAATATCTTTATATCATTAAAAATGTTCCCCACAGGAAACCATTTTACTTGTACATAATTATATTGTTTTAAAAAATATCTAGATGTACTTCCATTTGGCATAGGCAAATATTTATGTAAACATAGATCAATGAATCACCTATTTCCAACTGAAAAAGGCAGACATTTGGCAATTAATCATAATAATAGGCTCTGTTCCTTATGTCCTTATCAAGCTTTTGATGATGAATTTCACTACTTACTTGAATGTTCGTACTTAAATGACATAAGACGTAAATCTCTTCTTCCCAGTTTTTATTTTCATCCAAATATTTTTAAACTTGACAGATTAATGAATAGTTGTGATAAAAAAAATTCTACTAAAATTATCTTTATTTTGTAAAAAATATTATGTTAAAATTTAGATAATTAATACTTCTCATTCCCCGTTCCAATTTGTTACAATGTAAAATACGTGTTGTATTGAATTCAGTAGTTGAAATGAACAATATGATCTCTTTTTCTTTGTTTATTTAGCTAGTCATAATTGTATTGTTTTATTGTGATACATGTATTAGTAATTTTTGACAGTTATTTTTCTGTTCGTTTGTTTGTTATAACCAGTTGCATATAATTTGATAATATGGCTTGGTTTAATAAAAACTTAAACTGAAACTAGTAAGGGGCGTCCGTGGCCGAGTGGCTAGGGTCGTTTACTTCAAACCACTTGCCTCTCACCTCTGTAGCTTCGAATCCCGACAGAGACTTTGGATTCTTTCATGTGAGGAAGCCATCCAGCTAGCTTACGGAACTACGGTGGTTCTACTCAGATGCTCGTTTGTGCCTGAAATAATGTACGGAAGGGCACCTGAGGTCTTCCTCCTCCAATAAAGCTGGAATGTCGCCATATGATATATAATGTTTCAGTGTGACGTAAAACCCAATTAAACAAACAAACAAACAACTAGTAAATTACTAGTCACTAGCTACAGACGTTTTAATGGATAATTATTAGTCTCCAGCTACACACGTTTTCATGGTAAACAAGAGCCATGTTAACATGGCCATCCCCCGCCGAATGTGTTTGCTCATTGGAAGAATGTATATGTAGTAGAGCGGAATAATTCCATTTTAAGAGGTCTTTTGGTAATGAAAACTGGTGGCTATAGTGATGACAGATTTGAAACCTATGTGAATACTGAATGGCTGAAAATAACAAAAGGGCAATTACTGAAAAATAATGCAGGGTAGGTTATCATTCTTGTGTGCTGCATCCCTCCTCAGTAACATCTATCCACCTATGAAGTTTCAAGTTGATCCTCAAATACTTTTTTGAGAAAAAAATTAAATTGAAAAAATTAAGTATGAAAAAGAACAAGGGCAATAACTCAAAATTATAAAAAGGTAGAGTTATCATTCTTGTGCAGTGCACACCTCCTGAGTGAGATCTATGCACCTATGAGGTTTCATTTCGATATCTCAAAAGGCTTTTTGAGTAATGCTCTGGACAAAAATTAATTTGAAAATAACAAAGGCATAACTCAAAAAATAATGCAGGGGTAGAGTTATCATTCTTAAGCACTGCACTCCTCCTCAATGAGATCCATCACCTTTGAAGTTTCAAGTGGATACCTCAAATACTTTGATATAAGCTCTGGACAAAATAGCATGAAAAAAACAAAGGGCAATAACTAAAAATGTATAGGAGAGTTATCATTTCTTGCGCACCACCTTCCTCCTCAATAAGATCTATTCCACCTATGACATTTCATTTTGATATCTCAAACACTTTTTGAGTTATTCTCCACTCAGATGAAAAATTAGGTATGACAAATAACAAAGGGCAATAACTAAAAAAATATGAAAGGAAAAGTTATCATTCTTGTGCACTGCACACCTCCTGAGTGAGATCTATGCACCTATGAAGTTTCATGTTAATATCTCATAGGCTTTTGGAGTTATGCTCTGGACAAAAATCAATTTTGAAAAATAACAAAGGACAATAACTCAAAAATCATGCAAGGAAGAGTTATCATTCTTGTGCACTGCACTCCTCCTCAATGAGGTCTATCCACCTATGAAGTTTCAAGTTGATAACTCAAATACTTTTAGAGATATGCTCCGGACAAAAATGTCGGACGGAAGGACGGACGGAAGGACGGAGGGTCGGACGGACGGAGACTATTTCTATATCCTCCGCCGAAAATTTTCGGCGGGGGATAATAACCAGTCCCCATCCAAACACGTTTTATAGTAAATTACTAGTCGCCAGCCACGCACGTTTAAATAGCCATGTCACTCTTACAGAACAAATTGTTGAAAGTTTACATTACTTAAATAAATGATTCGTTCCATTCGTATTCTCGCTTCTCGACCCCGCAAAGTGAAATGTGATATTAAACAAGTTTAATAAATATCTCCCCGCGGGGTGCGGAGCGAGATTTAAGAAATAAAACGACGGGGCGCGGAGCTAAAACACGCTTATTAACGTCCCCGCTAATTCGCGTGTTTTGGCTCTGCGTCCCTGCATTAAATTTGTTAATTCTCGAGGGTCGTGGGACGAAAACATGAATGGCTCAAATCAGCCGCCATGACATTGAAATATATGTTTGAGTCGAAGGCGGGTCAATTTATAGCAGTCAATGAGCACCAACACGTAAAGTAACGTGTTATTCGGAACGATTTGACAGACAAAATAATAAAACAAATGACCGACGCTTGGCCGTTGCTGTATATTTCCTGTAAAGAAAGCTATAGAGTTTCTGACATGTGTTAGAGAATATTTATCTTGATACTTTCCATATATTTTGATGCAGATATTGTGTGGGAGTTAAATATTTTTCAATTTCCACATTTTTTTCTGTTTGAGACTTTGAGTACAATTTTTACATGAGGGTTTAAGTAGTGAAGTACTATTTTAGTTTATGATACATTGCAAACTTAAATGAAATATTGATGAAATATAATGCATATTTTCATTTTCCGTATTTTCATTGCAAATATTCATTTTTGACTACAATGAAACATATTTCAATTTTTTCATTGGTGTCTTGGCGAACAACTTTCTTCTAAATCGCATAAAATCAAAGTGGAAGTCTCTCGAGTCGTAAGGTCATAAAAAAATTACTCGTTTATAATAAACAGAAAACTACTTTTAATTTGAACAATTGGAAACATAACATACATATATAAGGCACTATTTAATGTCAGGTAACATTTGCAATCAGCAACGTAACTATGGAATAAGTCATTCTATATGTGATTCCACAATGCATGTTCAAAGTCTTTTTTCTTGATCAGCTATCGCAAGAAAAGTGTCTTTAAAGTTTCTATAACAAAATACTACAAATTGTGACAAAAATATCTTCGTTTATCGGAATTTCATTTCTACTTTTTTCAAACTGTAGTACTTATCCTTCCAATGATACCATGTAATTCCAGCACTATCTATTTTGCCAGGCTGGTTATAATACTTTCCATTGAGATTGGAAAACTGGCAACTACCATACCACCACGCACCATGACGCATCTTTGCACAATTGCCCGCCGAGTCTATATCGTTATCTCTATCATACGTTGAGAACATCATTCCATTATGATATTCAAGAGAATCTCCAGCAGTTCCACTGTACCCGCTGATCTCAAGTTTGTAATTGTCTTCTTCCGGGTATATCTTGAACTTACTGTACTTAGAATAGGCTCTGTTTCCTTTAAAATCTTCAAACTCTATTCGAAGTTCGTGTTCTCCATTTGATGTCAGTAGACTCAAATGGTCATTGCCAAGCCAGAACTCACCATTTAGATCACCAAAGCCGTTTTTATACGCAGTCCAGGTACGATAAAAATCTGTTTTTCCATTCAGTCTTCTTTGAAACACTATCCAGTCCCCAACGTCTGTAGTTTGGTCACAGTAAACATCAATACCTTGTCCCAAATTGTATATTCCATTTTGTAAGTTGCCAAAAACTCTTAGCGAACGACAAGAGGGACCCTGAATTAAGTAACCTATGTGAGAATATGAATTGGTTATAAGAGTTTTAATGCTTTCAAATTGTTTAGCCATTGCCTTATTATTGTCAGTGTTTAGTTGCACCTGTTCTGATATACTTTGAAGCACTTTACAATCATTTGCAGACATTAATATCTTTTCTTCAGCCGCCTTTTTGATCGTTCCAAAGCTGGTTATTAATTGATCAGTGTTGTTAACAGCAACTTCGCAATAATCTTTAACATCTTTGGTGAGGGATATCAAATTGTTTTCAATCTTTGGAATTTTCCGTCGAAACATTACAGTCTCAGTTTTTTCCTTGGTAAAGGCTCCCCTAAGTCTAGCGAAATCCTCTTTCAATGTATCCACAGTTTTAAAATCAATGCCACCAGCTGTTGATGCTGCAGGAATGGGCTGTTCTTTTCCAACTGTAGCATTTAACACTTCATCTATGTCATCTAGTCGTCCTGTAATTTCAGCAATATCTTCGTCTCTGAACGAAAATTCGTTATTAAGTCTAGTCTCTAAATGTTTGACCCTTAACTTTAGGCGATCAAATTCCTTTGTAGAACTCGTCAAACCAAATACATATACACCGAAAAGAAGGACTGACACTTTACCAAACAACTGCATATTCAAATGTAACTATTTGTTATAAAACTTTCTTGAATCTAGTACGAAATATTTTCCCTTATCAGTTTAGAATAATTTGAAAACAACTTGAAACAATCCGAATCCTTTATTCTTAAGAACTAAATTTTATCCTGTTCGTACACTAGTTCGCGTTAGTTTATGACGATAGGTTTTCTCTCTAAAGATTGTGTATTATTTATATATTTCTTTAAAGTAGCTACTTATGTACTCTCGTTGTGTGTTGTTCTCTTGCCTATCAAAAGAAACAACTACAAGATCCATTTAAACGAAATGGAGCCAGTTAATTTTTTCTTCAAGTGCTTTAAAAAGGGTACTTTATGTACGTGGTTTGTTAAATCATTAAATCTAATTATATGATTACAAGAATACATGTATACTGTTAGTTATTGTCACAATGTGTACCCAAAAAAAGGAAATCTAACTAATATATAATTATATTAGTATCACATGATGTTTTGAATGTAAACTTTATAGCATATATGTTGAAAATAATGTAAAGATAAACAAATTGCCGGTGTATCGATGATTTTCCAACTTCATTTATCATTTCGGGTTTTATGTTTTTATGCTGTGGAAAGAATATTACATAAGACAGTTATTATTCCATGGAGATTTACATGTAACTCTATCATGGCACGTTCTTTACTCTTCCTACAGGTCTACGTATATACTATTGTTATAGGACAAAAGCACGTGGCGCATATACATTATTTGAAAGCTGCCTCCTGATAAATAAATGAATAAATAAAGGTTCTTTCCTCAGTTTTTTTTTCAATTGATAATATATATCATATGTTCGCTACACTATTTCAACATATTAAATGTAGCAATAAACGGCTGACTGCGATTTTTAGTGAAAAAGACTTTAAAACGATTGATTTCATATACATTCATGTATCAGAATGAATGACAATAACAAAAAAGTCAAGCAGAACAATTGAACTGAATTTATAGGAGCTATTGCGTAATACTAGTCTTTAGGCTGTAGTCTTTACAGAACAACCTTAAATACTTATTTTGATTTGAAATATTTACTTAATTTATGTCGCCTTGTATAATATCTTTTAAATGTTTCTGTAATACGTACATGCTTAACTTGAAGAGGAAATCACTGTTTTAATAATTGGCCAAATAACTCTATTTTTCCATAGACTTACATTGTAAATAAGTAATCACCGAAAATATCTTAATTTCAGTATTTATCTTAAATATATTAATTTTTCTTTGATAAAGTTATGTCTGACACGTAAAAATAACCTCGTTATAAAACAATATAGCCCCTCTTTTCAATGCAGGTTACTCATAGGACTGACATACACGTTTTAAAAATCTAAAAATACATGTTGGGTTTTTTTGTTGTTTTTTTTTCCAGAAAACCATGTAGTATTAGTTTTTAAAATAAGTGTCATTATTACAAACATTCACATATCGCATTTTTACCGACCCCATTGATGCTCTCAGTGTTCAGCCATTGCAGCAAAGTTATACTACAGCAGGCAAACACACCAAATATAAAATCTTTAAATCTTCAAAGATGCAGCTATTTGACAGCATTCGTTATATAAAAGAAATGCTATTAAAATTCACTGAGCTTTTAAACGATGATAACAAAGTCGTTATTCAGAAGTTATCATTGTATGTCTTGAAAAGCTTTAGACTAACAGATCTGAAACAAATTAGGTTAAAAGAAATACAATGTCATAGATACATACATGTATAAGCATTAAGTTTGGTGATATCATACATGTATCCTATTTTGTGATTTTTGAAATTGTAATTTATAAGTCACCAAACTGTCTCCTCTGTTCATTTAAAACAGTTATACGAATATATATAATGTTTTCAAATTACTGCAGAAAAGATCATATTGTTGTTTACAATTGATATTCACTGTTTAAATTGCCATTATAATGATGTTTGAGAAATAAAATTTAGATATTGTAACTGTTTGTGTGTTAATATATTTAGGTATGTAAAATGATGGACATATCATGTCTTATTTCTGAATAAAGCGTATTATAATTATATAATCCAGTTAAGCTCTTTGAAGCATTTTTTTTAGTCGGGATAATACATTATTCGATGAAAAGCATTTACATGAACATTCACCATATTGATGAATATCCCTTCATTCCACTGAAATTCCTTGTGAATGACACATTTGCCATTTTTTTTGCCTCTGAAAGATATTTCAACGGCCTCATTTAAAAACAAAGACTGTTGTCTGACTTGTACTTAATATATAACAGGTGCCAAATGAATAAGACACCATTTATTGCAAATTTCACACAATATATAAAACAAGGTCGAACTATTAGATTATTATAAATTCTTATATGAGCCGCGTCATGACAAAACCAACATAGTGTGTTTGCGACCAGCATGGATCCAGATCAGCCTGCGCATCCGCACAGTCTGATCAGGATCCATGCTGTTCGATAATTAACCCTATTACAAGTAGAGAAACTGATAGCGACATCATGGATCCTGATCAGATTGCGAGGATGCGCAGGCTGGTCTGGATCCATGCTGGTCGCAAACGCACTATGTTGGTTTTGTCATGACGCGGCTCATATATTCTTATCATAAATTCAGAATAATGATTGAAAATATTGATATTTAATAAGAATATGTTATTTGGAAAGTGTATAGTGTCAATAAACGTTATATGTTTTAAGATTGTTCTCCTTTATGACTTGCTTTGAACTGCTGTTTTATAAAAATGATTTCTGTATTATATACCTTATGTTTGTATCATGCATGATGAACTGAAAGAAATAAATGTGATTTGATTCGATTTGAAAAGTAAATGAATGTCATCATCGGTTTTGTACGAGAAAATTTAATCTCAAGTATTTCACACCATTTTTATGAATGATTGAATATAAAATTCTATTTCAGTCAGTACTATGTGCGTGTGCAACCATTAAGAAGGTGGAACAGAAACTGATATGCCTGTGCATTATTAAACAATCTCACGACGTCAACGACGTAACAAAATCAGCACTGGCGTTGACCATTGTGTTTTTTGTATAGCTTTTTCCAAAGAATTTTTTATTGTTTGTATTTTATTTATATATGTTGGATAACTACACTGGGCATATTCCCATTCATTTTTATTATTTTTAAGTAATGAAGTATTAATAATATCATGGTTTTGCTGACGTCAACATTACAGGGTCGACTGACGAGTGGGGTATCTCTGGAGTAGGATGGGTCGTGTTTACTAATCCTGAAGTTCCTGTAAGAAATGAAATTGAATTAGTAAAATGAAATCAGTGATGATGATGATGATGATGTTGTAAGTGTATATAATAATGATTGTAATAGTAATACAAAAATGTAATGATAATGACATTATAATTAATAATAACAATAATAATAATGATGATGATGATGATGATGAAAATTAAAAATTTATTACAATTTACTATTTTACCAAACGCTTGGAATTATGATTCTTAAAAGTTTAGTGCAGAAGTTTAATGAAACGGATTCAATTCAATAAGAGTATGTTGTTGTTATTTTAATTGAAAAAAAACGTTCTAAAAACGATTTTTTTCAACATTAGAAATAATTACATATTTATTATTTAATAAAGGAAAGCATGTCCGATAATTGATTTTGATAACTATGAAAATTGACATATGAATGAATACCTGTAGGTCCTGTAAACGACGGATTTTGCGTAGGACCTGCAACAAGGAAGAACAGTATCAGTTTGTAACAGACATCAACTTACATAAATTTCAAACAAATTCCTTGACAAAGAAACAAAGAAAAAAACAACAATAAAATACTCCCACTGTATTGCCATATATGCCATTATTCATGACGAATGTATTACTTGAATGACAGCCGGAAAGACATTTGTAAGAACAACCAATACGTTATAGGAAATGTAAACAAGTAACAAAATATTATACAGTATATACTCCTATGATAGAAGTGGAACTTACGAGCACACATGTTACAAAACTGTCTACAATTCTGCCTTGCCCATCCTTTAAATGAATCTCTTGTACATGATTCCGGTGGAAACTTGTCACAGTCTGGATTTGCATCCTCACAAGGTAAAAAGTCTGAAATGCAAGTGAGTTGTAAAATTATTTATTGCGATAGTAGTAATCTGATCTCCTCTGCTATCATGTTTCGCAATAGACCTCTGACATAATAAGGAGACATATTGGAACTACTTTCAGTCATATGGTAAAATGGCGGCTATATTTGTAGAAAAAACTGATTGAAATAATGTTTCTGTTATACAGAGGTAGAAAGAATTACAATGATAACAGTTAATTCCCCTTCTAAATCAGGCATTGGCAAAGTTAAGTAATAGAAAGAGCACCGAAACACGAGGCTATCTGATTTGTACGAGGGGGCGTAGCCCCCGAGTATAAATCAGATTGCCGAGTGTTTTGGTGTTCTTTTTCTTTTGTATCATAGTCAAACATGACAGCACGTTCCCTGTTGTCACAATATGAAACCCCAGAAAAAAATGAACCAATGAACGAGCATTTGAATATGATAGTTCTGCCCCTTTCTCTTTCTCTGCCGTCACAATATGTAAATTTCCCCGGCAAAAATGAACCAATCCACGGGCATTATCTGGAGTGCGGGTAACTGATACCCGCACTCCAGTTACCGCACTGTGCATGTATATGTATACGATTTAACTCTGACACTTTTTCAACAGAAAGGTACCCAAACTATGATACAAGTAATAGAAAGAGCACCGAAACACGAGGTTATCTGATTTGTACGAGGGGGCGTAGCCCCCGAGTATTAATCAGATTACCGAGTGTTTTGGTGTTCTTTCTCTTTTGTATCATAGTCAAACATAAAAACACGTTCCCTGTTGTCACAATATGAAACCCCGGCAAAAATGAACCAATGAACGAACATCTGAATATGATATTTCTGTCGCTTTCCCTTTCTCTGCCGTCACAATATGTAAACCCCAGCAAAAATGAGCCAATCAATGGGCATGCTCTGGAGTGCGGGTAACTAATACCCGCACTCCAGTTAACGCACTGTGCATGTATATGTATACGATTTAACCCTGACACATTTTCAACAGAAAGGTCCCCAAACTATGATACAATAAGTTGTAGGATTACGTAACTTTCTTGCGAAAGAACACTACTTTATAAACATGGCGAATTACATTGTTGTGTTCATGTTCTAAGTACAAGGCCTCATTGTCCGAAGTATACAGGGAAGGCCAATACTTTACGATGACTATTGTAGCTGCTAGATTAATGGAATGTCAACATTCAAACTAACACTTGCGAACCATTGTTTAACTAGACTTGTGATTCTCACAATGTATCTTTTTATATATGTCCCTTTTAACCAAGTTCAAAGCAAAACAAAATGATTTGTACATATATATTCTATTTTTCAAAAATCCAACAAAGGAAACACGTATATTCTATTCAATTTTTAGCAAGATAAATACGTATCGAATTCGCAATTTTATCTTTTTCAGTAAAGGAAATAAGAATCTCCTATATTTGAAGCTTTCAGGAAACGCTTGCATTCCTTTTTAAACGGCTCTGAATAAAACAGCCACATTTAAGATTTACCTCGGCAATAGCCACAGTCGAAGCCACAATGTGACCGAAAATTTGGTTCATAAACAGACAGATACATATCCCTATTAAAAGATTTATCTTGGCAATAGCCACAGAGAAAGGCACAATTTCCTAAGACCATTTCATGGTTCTTTATGCCTCCGTAGTAGCTAAATGAATACACTGGATGCCGTTACTTCCCACGATAGCCACAGTAACATGCACACTGTGACCAAGCTCAAGGTTCATACATAGATCCATATACTATTTTATATATATTTTAGATATACTTCGACAATAGCCACAGAGACAGGAACACTGTGACCGAGTCCATGGTTAGTACAAAGACACCCCATATATTTTATACTATTTTTAACTTACCC